CGACAGTGTGATAGATTAACAATGGCCACAATCCTTGCTCCTCCTCCCTGTGTTAGGTGAGGGTAAAATGTTTCTCCCATTCAATCTGGGTTGGCTCCAGTGACTTGCTTGACGAGTAGAATGTAGTGAGGTGATGTCTCGGGGCTACTAACGTGAGGTCACAAGAGCCTTGCAGCCTCCACCCCAGCCTCCTGGAACTCTCTGTGAGAGACCTGCTGCTACTGAGACTGCTGTGCTGGAGAGGCCACATGTGGGTGTTCTGGCCCACCGTGCCAGCTGAAACCAGCCTTCCAGCCACCCCCGTGATCTCTGTTCTGTCACATCGGACAGAAGAATCACCCAGTGGAGCTGCTGAAGTCCCTGACACACTATCACATATAATAAAATGGTTCTTGGAGTCTATAAGGAGGTGATACATGCAGCTATATGTATAAACATGTTCATTAGAACATTATTTATGATACTGAAAGATTAGGAAGATCTGTAAGGAGCTTGCTAAAGTCTGATACACCACCACAATGAAACAGATCTAGTCAATGGGACGAAGCAGGGTGAGTAAAGCAGGGCCAGATGTTCACAAGGAGTATTCAGCTAAAAACGTGAGGTCAGGTGCAGCAGCTTATGCCCTGTAGTCCCAGCATTTGGGGAGGCCAAGGTGAGTGGATCTCTTGAGCCCAGGAGGTTGAGGCTGCAGCGAGCTGTGATCTTACCAGTGCACTCCAGCCTGGGTGACAGCATAAGATCCTGTCTCAAAACGCAAAACAGGGCTGGGTACGGTGGCTCACGCCTGTAATCCCAGCACTTTGGGAGGCCAAGGTGGGTGGATCACCTGAGGTCAGGAGTTCAAGATCAGCCTGGCCATCATGGTGAAACCCCATCTTTAATAAATAAATAAATAAATAAATAAAATAAAAAACAGGCTGGGCATGGTGGCTCACCCCTGTAATCCAGCACTTTGGGAGACCAAGGCAGGTGGATCACAAGGCCAGGAGATTGAGACCATCCTGGCCAGCATGGTGAAACCTCGGCTCTAAAAATACAAAAATTAGCTGGGCGTGGTGGCAGGCACCTGTAATCCCAGCTACTTGGGAGGGTGAGGCAGGAGAATCACTTGAACACAGTAGGCTGAGGTTGCAGTGAGCCAAGATCACACCTTGGCACTCCAGCCTGGGCAATAGAATGAGAGACTCCGATTCAAAAAATAATAATAAAATAACCAAAAATTGGAAGCAACCAAGATGCCTTTCAATAAGTACATGGGTAAAATGTGAAACATCCAGACATTGGAATATTTTTCAAATTAAACATGAATTAGCTATTAAGCCACGGAAAGCTATGTTGGGACCTTAAATGCATATTGCTGAGTGAAAGAAGTCATTCTGAAAAAACTCATATTGTATGATTCCAATTACATGACATTCTGAAAAAAAGCAAACTATAGAAACAGTAAAACGATCAGCGGTTGCCAGGGGCTTCAGGGGAGGGGGAGAGGGATGAGCAGGGGAAGCACAGGAGTTTTAGGCAAGGAAACTACCCTGTATGGCATGTAATGGGGGATAGCTGGCACTATACATTCATCAAAACATATAAGAGTATACAAAAATACACAAGGCGCCAGGCGCAGTGGCTTATGCCTGTAATCCCAGCACTTTGGGAGGCTGAGGTGGGCGGATCTCCTGAGGTCAGGAATTTGAGACCAGCCTGGTCAATATGGTGAAACCCTGTCTCTACTACAAATACAAAAATTAGCCAGGCGTGGTGTTGGGTGCCTGTAGTCCCGGCTACTCAGGCAGGAGAATCGCTTGAACCAAGGGGGCAGAGGTTGCAGTGAATTGAAATCACACCATTGCACTCCAGCCTGGGCAACAGGGCGACACGCTGTCTCAAAAAATAATAATAATGCACAAGGCAGAAAAAAAAGAATGCACAGGGTAGAGTGAGCCCTTATGTGAATTATGAACTTTGGTTAATAACAATGTATCCATATTGTTTCATCAATTGTAACAAATGTACCACACTAAGGAAAAATGTTTATAATAGAGGAAACTGTGTGTGTGTGTGTGTGTGTGTGTCTGTGTGTGTGTGTGTAGGCCAATTTTTTTTTTCTTTTTTTTGAGATGGAGTCTCACTCTGTTGCAAAGGCTGGAGTGCAGTGGCGCAATCTTGGGCTGGGTTCAATCGATTCTTGTGCCTCAGCCTCCCTAGTAGCTGGGATTACAGGCAACTGCCGTCATGCCTGGCTAATTTTTTTGGTATTTAAGTAGAGACAGGATTTCACCATGTTGGCCAGGCTAGTCTTGAACTTCTGATCTCAGGTGATCCACCAGCCTTGGCCTGTCAAAGTGCTGGGATTACAGGCATGAGCCACCATGTCTGAACAGAATTTTTATAATGAACATAAAAATTAAATGTGGCAACAACACTGTTTCTGGTTTTCAATATTTGACTGGGGTTTAGCGAAGAGTTCACCGGGGGGACATAGATTGTTTTTTCAGACAGGGTCTCTGTCACCCAGGCAAGAGTACAGTGGTTTGATCATGGCTCACTGCAGCCTAGACCTCCTGGGCTCAAACCATCCTCCTGCCTCAGCCTCCCATGGTGATCATGCAGGTGTGAGTCACAGCACCTGGCTTAATATCTTTAAAAATTGACTTTAAATAACAAAAAGTGGCCAGGCACGGTGGCTCACGCCTGTAATCCCAGCACTTTGGGAGGCCGAGGCGGGTGGATCACGAAGTCAAGAGATCGAGACCATCCCGGTCAACATGGTGAAACCCCGTCTCTACTAAAAATACAAAACATTAGCTGGGCATGGTGGCGCGTGCCTGTAATCCCAGCTACTCGGGAGGCTGAGGCAGGAGAATTGCCTGAACCCAGGAGGCGGAGGTTGCGGTGAGCCAAGATCGTGCCATTGCACTCCGGCCTGGGTAACAAG